TTTTTAGAATATGAATGTGGAATTTGCATCAGGTAAGCAAAAAATTATGAAAACAAAAGTTTCCCACTGAGGTACCTGAGCTGGCTGTACGTGGGCAAATTCCCCATGATGCTCCTTGTGCACAGCACTGATGCCGTGGTCTCCGTCTCCATTCGACAGCTGAGACTGCAGATCCAAGCTGTCGAAAGGTTTCTTCCCAGGAACCAACATCACATGTACTTTGGCTCGAAACCACTGCTTGAACTCATCCTGTGATAACAACATAAAGAATTACATTTTGCTTTGGCTGTGAGACTAAGCTGAATTTTTCATTTGTAGTGTAACACAGTATGTGTGCCAAAGAATGTAACAAGTGTCAGGATGATCTGTGAACAGCAGCAACACAACAATGAACTCATGTTTCTGTGAAAGAAGAAGCAGATTCACACAAATGAAAGGTACAGTAAATATAATCTTTTGTTTGTTTTAGCAGGTGAACACAGTAATTGTCTCATTTACAAAGCTTTAACAAGTATCTACTGAGTCATATAACTTTTTTCCTTGAAGGTAAACATTTTAGTTCAAATAAAGTCAAACGTGAATTGTGTGAAAAAAAGAAAGCAAGTTCTCCGTTTTCCTACCGTGGTCCTGAGCAGCACTGTATGTGCGTCTCTCAGCGAGGTGTGTGTACAGGTGCCCTTGACGCCCCACTCAGGCAGCCAGTAGAGCAGCAGCAGCAGGAGACCCCCGGAGCACACAGCACCTACACCCACCAGGATCATCTTCCACAGACAGGGCTGGTACCCCCACACCTCCTGCATGGGCAGACACTCATGTTAACACACTGACGGGTGGGACAAATACACTGCGCTGTAGCTTGTTGCTGAAGGCAGATTGAATAACAGACACAGCCCGTAATATACGCTGCTGTATGTGACAACACTTTTTGTTTGGAGAGGCTGTGTGAAGTGGGACAATTAATCCTTTTTTTTTTTTTAAATAACATTAATGATGGCTCAGTTATATTCGTCAGCCATAACAGCAGCTAAATGGAATTTAGCCATCGCTGATTACATTGTTTACATTTTAGCATTTTGTTTTAAAAAAAGCTAAATCATTTCCTAAGACAGCTGGCAAACATCACTCAAACAGGAGTAAACTTTGTTTATTTTGTTAGGGACTATTTTCAACAGCAGATTAATCCACATTCGGTGCTTTAGAGAATATTTACAGCAACACAACAGTGTATGTGGGATTGATTGAAGAAAAAAAATACAATGCCCATGTTCACGTTGTAATGAAGGAACATGTTAATCAGTGAAGTGCAACAGTGTGGACCAGTGATGTAGTGGGGGGGGGGGTCTTTTCATTTCATTTGATTGGTTGACAATGAGAACAATATTAAACATCTTCATTATTCTTTGAGTGCTAACTACCATCTTGTTTTAGTAGTGACACACTATAGCTGCCATGGTGATTTTTATTTATTTATGTTTAGCCAATCTGAAAACTGAAAACACAGACGTTAATAGGAATAGTTTCAGTTTTTGGCAAATACATTTATTTACTTTCTTGCAGAGAGTTAGATGAGAAGATTTATACTTTTGAGTCTGTACGATTGCAGCCAGTTAGCTTAGCATAAATGCTGGAAACCGCCAGTTTAATGAACAACCTTTGGAGGTGCTGGTTTGATTAGCCAGCTGTTTTTCCATTTACAGTCTTTATGCTAAGCTAAACTAACCAGCTGCAGCTGGATATTAAACAGAAATACATGGGAGTGGTGATCAATCTTCTCATCTAACTCTGAGCATTAAAATGAATATGCAGATTTCCCAACATGTGAAACTACTGCCATACCTTCTTTCACTCTACAGTCTAAATCAGTTTAAGTTCAATATTTTTTAGAGTGATTTCAGTGGCAATTCAAATCAAATTAAAAGCTACATTAATTTTAATCCACACTGATACATGATCTATGTCTAGTGGCATGGAGTGGTGAAGTTTCAGATTGCAACTAACTGAACACCGCTGGCGTCTGTATTTGATTACCTGGGAATGAGAACTGTGTTCTAAAGTGTGTGGGAGAAACTATGGTGGCTGCAAAACTTGAAAAAGGCCCTATCTACAGTAAGTGTTTGGTTTGTTCTGAGTGACTGTAGAAACATGGCGGTTCAACATGGTGGACTTCATGGAAGGTGTCTGTAGATAAAACCAGCTCATTTTAAGGTAATGAAAACACAATGATTCTTATATTCAGGTGATTATACAATAAAGAAAACATATTATATTATAACATATTATATTCCATTTGGGCCAATAGATCCTCATAAATGTTACACACTGGACCTTTAGAGACAACAAATGTTTTATCATTATGATTATGCCGTTACACTTGATCCAACTGTCAAAAAATTGTTGATTTACAATCAAAAAATGTACCTTTTCATGATGCACTGTTCAATAGAAAAGACAATTATATGGGAAAAGTAGCATTAAGGTGGGAAATGATATTTACCATCTCATCCTCCAGGCCCTGGTTTATAATCTTCACCTCTCTCGTCTTCATTCTGTCAGAAGTGCAACAGCTACAATGACAAAGAGAGATTACTTTATTTACTATATTTCCATTAGGTGCCAAAGATGTTGCAATCTTCAATATCGGTCAAGGGCATTATAGGAACGAGTTTTATGACTTCTGAAGCAATAACAGCTCAATCAGGGAAACAAAGTCAGTGATTCATTTATTTTCTATTATAAAGTAATTAATCCTCACTGGAGCCAAACAGAAGTGGAATGTGTTTGTATAGAAACACAATAAGGTATAGGTCAACTGAATAAAATGAAACTCTGTGTACAGCAGTTACCTGCTGGTGAGTATTGAGCTGTCTAGCTGAGATAAATATCTCTCTTGCATGTAACAACCTGACTGAACCAGAATACCTACTGTACCTGCCTCATAAAAATAACTGTGATATGCATGAGAAAACAGCTACCTGCACTGAAGCGTTTCTTAATCTTGATATTGTTGACTCATGTTCTCCTGAAACAGCTGAAATTGAGACTGAAGTACTGATCAACTGCCTCATTTGGACTTGACTGCAGATGTTTGTTTTTTTTAATCACTTCAACAAAGCTTGTATCAAATCTCTCATATTAACTGATGGGTGTCGCTGAGTGTATTAAAAGATGCATTAACACGTCTGACTTGAGCCTCGCGACACACTGTCCTGTCAACTTATTGACAACTCTATTGACAGCTTAACTGACATAAAGTTGTGCAATATGTTGCAATGAATGTGGCTATTAGTGTGATATAGTGTTAAGCAATGATCCGGTGCAGGATAGGCTGTAACACATAGAAACCTTTGCACCCTGCACACATGTTTTATGTTCAATAACAGTCACACCTGTAGTAATGTTTGACTCGCAGTCTATCTGGCCTCTCAATAAGTACCATCATGTAAGTACCTCCATCCACAGAAATAATATTACTTTAACATCTTTTTAAAGGGACAATACATCCAGGTACAAATGTAAGACACACATTGATTGCATCACCTCATCTACAATGATAAGTGTAAGGTGCTCCCATGGCCTGATGGGACAAACTCTAAGCTTTTGGTCCATCATAGTAAAAACAACATAACACCTTATATCACCATCCCCACTATGAAGCAACGTTCAGTTAGGATGCTTCTATGCAAAAAGGTGATAGAGGGCTGGAGATGGTGAGAAAGTGAAATCATGCAACAAAAATAAAGACAGATCCTGTCTGAAACCCTTTTGCAGTCTGAGAGGGAACCAAGACATGGGATAAGATTTATTTTCCAGCAGGACAAAGACCCCAAACATAAAACTTAAACGCTACACGAGACTGGCTTCATGCCCTGCAGCAGACACCCGAGAGTCCAGATTTCAATCCAATCCAGGATTTGTGGCAGGAATTCAAATTCTCTCTTTAAGCAGGGTCCCCATTGCAACTTGACAGAACTTTACGTTTTGCAAAAACTTGGGGGAAAATTAGATTGCAGATGTGAAAACCTATAGACTGAACTCAGGGCTGTAACAGACGCAAAAGGTGCCTCCACTAAATACTGACTTTAGGAACCTAAATTCAATGAGAGATTTTAGGTTAAAATAAAAAATAAGTGTCACCAAATCCCGATTGATCCAACGGAATTCAAAGTTGTAAAACAATAAAACAAAGTCCAAGAAAGCGTTTTATAGACACTAGACCTAATAAGCTCCAGTTATTAACTTGCTCTAGTTAAGACCTCAACTAGATTCCCAGTGTTGCAAAACCTTTAGCACCAAACGGTGACTGTGAAGCCAGTCCAGTCGCAGCTGAATCGTGTGTTACGAAGTCATGTAATCGTTTCGAAAGTTCCCGTTGAGCTGTGATAAAGCTCAACTACAAATATCGTGTAAATAAGCACATATTCATGCGTATTACCGACTTACCGACGCCCCTTATCTTCTCCGTCAGTGCAACACACGGCTCATAGTCAGGTGCGTAACTCGACAAACGATCGTGGCGTTAAGTTTGCTCTCTGCTCCTCTGCAGCCTTGTGACACCGAGGATCTAACAACGTGTGCGTGGAGATACGCGCCGACACAACAGAGATCCACGCTGCGCGCTGACCGGACCGTCCCAAACCGGTCCATTCAGAAGGAAGTGGGAAAACAGGATGTGAGGTCATTAGAGGACACCGGGTTTGGGCTAAAAGTTGCAACAAACCGGAGAACTGCAGGAAAAAATGTGCAAGCAGCAGCGGTGGAGAGGTCTGGACAGATCCTCCAGTCTCCTTTAAAGGGCTCTGTCTGTGCACTAACACGGTATTGAATCATTAGGAGGTGCAGGGGCTGCACAGTATGGCACGTTGAGCTGGGAGACTAGTGTTATTTCAGGTCAGTTCCAGAGAAGAGATACTCTGTGACTTGGCTGAGATTTCAGCAAGTCCCGGGATAACCTTTTGGGTCTTTATCACAGATGTTACAACAAAAATCAAAAACACAGCTGGTTTGGTTTTTAAATAGTTTTATCTTCACATTAGAAAATGATACATGGATGAAATCTTAACTTTTCATGTAAGAAAAAAAAAAATTACATAAAAAGGTGAAATAGGTCAATTAATTAACATTAGTTAATGTTTTCATAACAGTTATGAAATTCATGATTTAAAGTACAAAATATAACAGCTGAAATTACAAGATGTTACAACAAATGTAACAATATTGTACAAATTTCACACCTTTGCAGTCAGTACATTCAACCAAACTCAAAGTTTAAAAAAAAGAAAAAGAAGAAATCTCTATATGATAATTTTCCCCAGAAGAGTTAGTTTTTTCCCCCCGCTCCTTTAACAGCAGCCTGCAGCCTTCCAGCACCACGTCCTTTACCTGAAAGGAAAGACAATTTTTTATTTTTACTCAAAAACCATCAAAATCAAACCAAACCTGTCAAAAAAAAAACAACAAAGTAAGACCATAAACTCAATGACGTAGCACAACAACCCTATCCTTTTTCTGAAACCTACCCAAATCCAGTCACATTTCCCCTGTATTGAACATTGTATGGATTTAAGTAAAATATGAACAGCTCAATATCACAAACCATGTTAGGCAAGAATGCTAAAACCAGTTAAACTCAGGTGTTACCTTTCTACATAATCAATACAGTTTCAGTAACTTGCATCACTTCACAGACTCACTCTGGTCTGCCAAGTACGGCTACTCATTGGTTCAGTTACTGTCTCTTGTTTATTTCTAACCGTTTGATCAATAAATCATGATTCTGATTCTTCATTTTTTTTTTTGCCAAATAATCAGAAACTTAACAGTACATTGTATCATCTCTACAAAGGGAGGGAGACGATCAAACATACTATATAAATATTTACAAGCTATAGAAAAACCCTAATCTTGGAGTGTATCAGTGACAGAGAAGGTCAAATGAGCCACACTGACTGCCTGCACACAGCCCAAGAGGAGAGGGAGAGACCCCAGATCTGTTGGCCGAAGACTGAAAATACTGTGATTACTCTGATCAGCATGCATGGGAATGAATTACAATATATATTTGAATATATTTATTTTCACTGATGGTCTGACTAAGTCATCAAATTTGATGTTCCAAGCGAGGAAAGTCGAATATGAACACCTAACAATTAAACTGATATATATTTCATAACACATTTAATATATAATGACAAAATGTCTCTACTGTCCTAGACATTCTATCATCGTGTCCCAGGTGCTATTTTTATTGTCCCCTAGGACAGGGATGGGACATCTTTACTCCTCTGACCTGCAAGCTTGCCGCCACGATGCCCCGTCAAGCGTCCTCTGGCAGCCGGGGCGCCTTGTTCAGCCTTGGCTTTTGCATAAGCCACAGTCACTTTGCTGCCATCTATTTCACAGTCCTCCATGGCTTCTTTTACAGCTTTGCAGTTTTCATCACTCTCAAAGTCCACAAACCCAAACCTGAGGAAGATGTAATGTATGGGTGTAAGGCAGACTTCCAGAAAAATCTAAAAAACATTCAACATGTTTAGACAATTATAACAATAATTTAAAAAATAACTTTATGCCGCCCACCTTCTTGAAACTCCTGTCTCTTTATCTGCAATGACTCTTGCACTGAGTGCTCCTTCAAAAGCACTTTTAAGAGTTTCTGCAGTCGTCTTCTCAGCGAGGCCCACCACAATCAGTGTTTTTGACAGGACTAAAGGGGGGGGGGGGGCACAGCTGTAGTATCACTGTTTTCTTCACTCACTGTGACTCAAATCGACTTCAAAAATAGCTGAAACTGTTTTGCTACACAAATATTAGACAACAGTTAACGCCTACATGATAAATATGACGATAACAATGCCACATACCTTTTGCCTTCTCAGTCTTTTCTCTCATCTCGCAGAATTTTACTCTGACCTCCCTTTTGGAGATCTTAATGTTTTGGGTCGACTTCAAAGCCTTTTCAGCATCTGCTACAGTTGCAAACTCGACAAATGCGAATCTGCAGAGGATTACAGATGTTTCTTGAGATTTTTCAAATACTTGATTCATTGGAGAGAAAAAAAGAGTCAGGCAGTGTGCATGTACTTACCCTTTTGATTTGCCTTTGCTTTGAGGGATCTTGATACTAACAGCTTTCTGAAACATGTTCTTGAGGTTTTTTTCTTTCACATTGTAAGACAAATTGCTCACAAACAAGGTGTTATTCGGAGGCGCTACAGCTGTGAGAAAGAAGAAAGATCCTTAGTCAATACAGAACAAATCACTAAGTTCAGATGTAATTGTCAGTTATGAACAGTACATTTCTACATTCCCAGTTATTTACCTTGTGTATTGTTGTCGTTGTTGTTGTTGTTGTTGTCGTCGTCATTAGCTTTGGTGACTTCAGTTGCACTTGCTTCTCCTACACGGTCCACAATTAAAACTCGGTCTTGGATCTTGGCTACTTGTTTTTTCTGCTGCACTTTCTTAGCAATCGTTTTATTTTTAAACTCCACAAAGGCAATACTGTTGAAAAAGAAGAACATTTCTCTCAGTGTGGACTACAAATATATGACGATATATACTGGTGATACCACGAGAACCAACACTTCGCAAACCACGTCAATGCCAAAGTTCTGAAAACATGACGGTACTCGCTTTTCTACAGTACCATAGATACAGTAGCTACAAGGGATTTAATTCTTCAGTATCTGAAGGGGCACCTACTGTACAGTCTAGTGACCACTGAGACAGACGCTCTCTGGTGCAAAGACAGTGAGTATTCTACAAGCACGGACCAGGTAAAGGAAGAGTAAACAGCAGTAAACACATCATCAGCAATGCAGCATTAGTATTAATATTGACGAATACATTTTTGGTATCGTGACATGCCGAGTATATACTGTGCTAGAAATGTGCCCCCCGGTAGAGCAATACCATTTCCACTGTGGGAGTTATTTTGTAGTGTCTCTGCTGTATATTCGGGGCGGGCTATGTAGCAAATCGGTGTTGGATTCTCGTGTGACATGACAGTGACAGTTAGTGGTGATGCACCTCTAAGCTGGTTTGCAGAATATGGTACAGATATTTTAAACCATTTCTTAATTGAATTAAAAGAACTTTTACTGTATTGTAATATATATCCGTTCCGTGATATCAAACTTCTTATATTGTGACAGAGGTTTCAGCCATATGGAACACCCCTAATATTAAATGCATATTTTTATTTCGAAATAAACATAACCATTGTTAATACTCTCACCCTTTGTCTGGGCCTACAGATCCACCAGGAAACCTGACGCCAACTGCCTTGCGGAAGATTTTCAAAATGTCTTGTTTTGTTGCGTTGTACGGGACGTTCTTCAGAAACAAACATTTGGCATCTTTGGCAGCTAAGAACAGGACAGTCCTCAAGTCAGAGCAGGTAACACACAAATTAAATTCATGTGTAACAAAATAATTACATTCATCTGAGTTACCTTTCTTCTCCTCCGCTGAAGCTTTCACTTTGACCATGTCCTCACTTTTGACCTTTGCTTTGGCGATCTTCATTGGCTTTTCGAGTATCATCTCTCCGTTTAACGTCAAGGCTTTTGTCAAATCCATTTGTGAGGCCAAATCTACAAACGCATGTTTTCTGCAACAGCAAAACATTACTTTTGAGTTAATTTAGTATTTTAAGTAACAGCAGTATTCATGTATGCATTCAAGTGGATGAAACAATCTCAAATGCAACCACTAGAGTGCAGCACACTCACTTGGACCGATGTAATCTGATGTCTTGAACCAGGAGACTTTGTGTCATGAAATAATTTGCTAATGAATTTTTTACTTCTTCGAATGTTTTAGAGTTGTTCAGGTTTCCAACAAAAAGACAAAAACCTACAACAAAAGAAGACGGTGAAGTGTGAACAGTAGTATGTTACAGAACGAAGCATTTAGCAGTCCGTCTCATGTTGACTTCATACCATCATTGATGAGCTTAGTCTTCTTTGATGGGGAGGTCTCAACACTAGGGGGTGCCTTCCGTTTCCCATTTACTGCAACCGATAGAAAATGTAAGTTATCCTGATCTTACACATGTGTAATTAAGACTTATAACAATTTCAAATTCTCATACATCGTCTACCACATTGATCTTTGTCTACAATGAATTTCACAAAGATCATATAAAAACTGCCTTAAATATTTACAGTGAGGAAATTTTGTGTTTCATATTTTTACACATTTTAAGTACAGTTGATCAGAATTAAAGGTCTAAAAATGTTCTACAAGCAGTTTAGATTAAGTTTTTTTTATTAAATGTAATTTGTGACCAGACTACAGTCGAAAAAGTGTGCGAGGACAGTGAAAAGAAAGAGAGCAAATGAAAAAGAATAAAGGACAGAAAGAAGTAACCACTGAAAACATTTATCATTGACTACACATTAACTCCTGGAAACATCCCTACCTGCTGTCTCTTTAACAATCTGTTCATCTCCATCAGTTTTCTCTCCTTCCTCACTCGTCTTCTCCCAGGTGACAGTTACTGTGGCTGTACTCTCATCTTCTCCAGCAACGACGTCCATCTGAGTTTCTAAAGAGGAAGCTCTGTTACTGGCACCATTTAGAATTTCACAGAAATATTTGTGTGGTGTCATGTTTGCAGTACCTCCAGATTCCTGCACCTCTTGCTTCATCTTTGTCTCTTTACTGGGACTGTCCTCTGTGGAACCGACTGCAGCAGCTGAAGAGATGATCTGAATCTGTTCTTCTGGGGAGGAAAAGGCATGATGTAATTTAAAGACAGTGAAAACTTGTAGTGACAAACTTTGAATGAGTGTTACAGACTTCAGATAGATCACTTATAAACTGAACAAAGGGTGGACACCCATATTTAAACAATCAACTAATAAAACACCTGCAACTTGAATGACAAGAATCACATCCGTTATATTGGGAAGAATAAGTTAGACTCGTACATTTAAAAGGCATGTGTTGTAATTCAGCCTAAACAATGGAGTTAGAGTTAGAGTTAGTTAGGTTCAAAACAAGTTCAAAACAATATATCACTGCTTCCTTTTTTTTTTTTTTTTAAACAAAATATGATGCAATAACTTTTTATTGTGTAAACATCCTTACTAGTATCCATCATCTGACCACTTTTATCGGTTCTCTTTTCTGTATCATCCACCTCGCCTTCCTCATTCTTCTTGTCCCATGATACAGTTACAGTAGACTTTGTTCCCTTTACTTCAATGACTGCATCCATCTGAGAATCTAAAGATGCAACGTTGTTAGTGGCACAGTTCAGAATTTCAGTCGAACATAAAGTGTGATGCATTAACAGTACCTTGTTCATCCTGGTTCTCCTCCGGTTTCATCTCAGTGGGAGAATCCTCATCTTTTCCCACTATTTGTTCACCTGAAGTGACAGTCTCAGGCTGCTCTTCTGAAACAATCATTAATTGGGTAATTATTATTATTACCACCCTTACATCCAAACAGTCATGTTTACTGTAAACTGTTTAGAAGAAATGAGTTACCCGTGTTAACACTGTCTTCTACAACTTCATTGGTGACAACTTTGCTTTGCCTTTTGCTACGTCTTGTAGCCTGAAAAAGACACACACATTTAGAATATGATGACAATGTGTGACTGTGTGTTAATGTGAGCTGAGACCAAAAATAATTTCCAGTAATTGTCAATAGTCAATTATGATGGAATATCCCCAAGTGGATGTCAGTCTAACAGTCCAAACCAAAAAGTATTAATTATACTTACATAGCAAATAAAAGCAGTAAAACCTCACATTTAAGGTCTGAAACTTTTAACTGATAATCAAAATGGTGTCATTTACCAAAGACTCAGCCCTACCTGAGGGTTACATGTAATACCGTTACTATGACCACTTAAAGACATCATACTGACTGGTTGTCCAGCGGTGAGTGAACCACTTAAAGCACTTAAAGCAGTGCTCGTAGGTTAGAACTGGTCTCTCATGTGATTACCACACAGCTAACCAACTGTTAGCCAGTTAGTTTGCAGCCAGTAAGATCAAACAGCGGTTATCTTAAAACAATCTACTTGGTGCACGTTGAAGCCTGCTTAACATAAATGTATCGTAACGTAATCCTTACGTCTGCCTTCGCCATATTTGTTGTTACAACGGCACACAATCACAGGCTGTAACGGGATGTCCTAGCCGGTAAACACACGTGGAGAGCTAAAAACATCCACATGCGACGGTTTTAAACTACGCACTGCGCATGCGTGATTGCGTACTACGGGTGCCTAGGGGGTTTCGGGCTTTAAGCAATTCTACGAGAACAACTATTTGAAACTCCCCTACGTAACTTACATACCAGTGTATGATTTCACTGCTATGAGCACATACTGGGTAAATATTGAGTAACAGTGGGTCATGTGTTTAGAGAAAAAGAACATTTGGTCATTATTTTGTTCAAACCTACTAACTACTCAAATATAGCTTCCTGATAACTAGCCAAGTAGCTAATTAACGTTAGCTTAAGTGAACTCTTGAGTTGGTGAACTCCTTCAGCTCTCCACCAGACTCAAGCGCACAGAGCACGACTTTAAATACAGCGGACTTTCAGTTTCACTCGCGGGATAACTGCACCTCGTTGTGTTTCTCTCACACGGTGTGTATTTGTGTTGGTTGTGAGGACTGGACTGTAGTAATGTGTTGACTCAAACAGTTTGAACTGGTCTTCGAAGAACCCGCGGTCCGAAGGTCGAGGCTCCACTACAGCTCACCCTGGGGCAGATAAGGTATTATCGGGTCACACTATGCACCCGGGCTGTAAACAACACCGACATGAGCTGACCATGGAGGACGTGGGACTGAACTGAGGAATACTTGAACAACAAACAACCTCTTTTTGCAATGGGTAGTCAGAGGAACGGTTTCAAGAAGGAAAGCTTCATTCTGTCGGTGGACGTCGGTACAACATCTATCAGGTGTCACGTCTATGACAAGGAGGCAAAAATACGAGGATCATGCATAGCCAAGGTATTCGTCTCTTTTTATGTACATACATACAACATATACACACGCTTAGTAGATTCCTTAGAGACTCTTTAGGATCTTTATGCTTGTTCTTATTGTGCGCAGGTTGTTCCCTTGTATCCAGAGGTAGGACATGTGGAGATGGACCCAGATGCACTATGGACAGGGTTTATCACTGTGGTCAAGGGAGCTGTGCAAGGTACAGTTGCACCAGTCCACGTAGGGACCATACCATGGATCTATACTGTATGAGAGTGGTTCTCTATGATAATGCTCACATCCTTTGACTAAATGAATGTCTGAGGAAACACTTATTGCAGTGCATGATAACATTTACACTATGTTTTGTTTTTTTCCTGAAGGAGAACAAATATAGCATGATTAATAAACACCAGTGCCAGTGCTTTAGGTACATTCATTGCAATCCAGTAAGCAGTACTATAGTAAATAACAGCCTTAGTAAGCGTATCATATTTTGTTTTGATTAGATGTTGATTCAGTGGTGTTTATTTTCTAGGCCGTACCCTGTGGTGTTGTTTTAATGGTTTACATTATATTTAAATAAGAAAGGCTCTTTTGTCCACAGTACATTAGAAACACTTTGGTATCCTGATATAAGAAAAGGTTTTTACATGCAAATTTCAACAGCTGAGTTGACTAAAGTGATTATATCACCAGTGAAAGTCTGTTGAACTCTTCTGTAAAGAAAGAGGTAAAAGGTCCTTGTCCTTAAAAAAAGCGCCTTTAAAGAGATTTAATGTGTGTGCTTCTGCTGCTGTGCTCATGATATAGATGCAGGAATACAAATGCGTCAGATAGAGGCTCTTGGCATCTCCACTCAACGAGGCACCTTCACAACATGGGACAGGTAAAATTTAATACAGTTAATCTTATTACTTTTCTAAAAAAAAAAGTCAATATAAGTTGTAGGCAAACTTGTTCATATAGTTCTTTTCCATCCTGGTTCCATCTCATTTCACTTCCTCTCTTTTAGTAAGTAAGTAAGTAAAGTTTATTTATAAACTATATATATTTTACTTTGACAGGACAACTGGGGTTCCTTTCCATAACTTCATCAGCTGGCAGGATCAGAGGGCTGCAGACCTGGTGAAGTCCTGGAACAGATCCTGCACAATGAAAGTGTGTCTCTGCCTTTTATGTACTTTTACTGACTAAGTTTGAAGTTAAGAGATTGAAATACTAGAACTGCTAAATGGTTTGAATGTAACCGTGGTAAACATTTAGTTTGTCCCTTCGTACAGTATGGCTTTGATTGTTGTTATGACAACCTTAGGCAATCCATGGCGTGATGAAGGTGGTCTACTTCCTGACCAGACAGAAGCGGTCGCTTGCAGCAAGTCTTATTGTCTTCTCCACTCAACATGTCACCTTCCGCCTTGTCTGGGTCCTAACACACTACAAGCAGGTGTGTGTTTGTGTGTGTTTGTGTGTGTGTGTAAGCTGTTACTCCTGTTTAACTGCTGTTTAATGTGAACCAGTTCTCAACTACATGGTGCTTATTATAACATAGTATCCGTAAGTGTCGGTAGTGGACGTGCTGCTCAGTTGGGAAGCAGTGCAGAGAGTGTCAAAGACATTGAATTCTTGGAATTTAAGCCCGTGTTTCGTAGAAAGATGTTTCATTGCTGGTGTTTTCAGTGTTACTATAGCCACGCTTTTGACCGCTTCTTCCTCGCCACCTTGACTCCTTCTTGTTGTAAGATTCCAGCAGCACAGACGCACAAGTTTGACGTCATTGTTTTGCAAACTGAACTACATCTATAAAAGGAATTAATAAACTTAGAGGCAATGTGGTTCCAACCAGAACATCACAATTTCCTTAAGCTGAGGTTTTGACAAACAGTCCTAATTTCAAAGATATAAATTTATAATATAAAAAACAGCTTTAAAAGTTACTTTACCTTAATGATTAATTGATTATCAAAATAATTGTAGAATAACTTTCCATAAATCAATTAATCAACCAATTGTTTCAGCTCTTTACCTTTTGCCACCCACTTTTCTACCTGCAGGAGACTAGCGCTGTTGTAGAACTTGGACTGGACTGTTGGCAATATTCAAAGTTAAAACATGTGGACATTTTCCAAACAAACTTCCTATCATACGACTAATCCTGGTTACAATGTGAGGCACAGCATACAACTGTAACCCTCGCAGGCTGTGGGTGTTTTAAAGGTTAATTATAAAAAAAAAAGAAGAAAACAAAAGCAAACTGGGAGAGGCTGTATTATCAGAAGTGCCTTACTTCTCTCTTCAGACTCATCATGTTTCATTCTTCTTCCAGGTTCTTCAAGCAGCAGCTGAAGATAACTGCTGCTTTGGGACAATAGACACCTGGCTCCTGTTCAAACTCACAAAAGGTGGGTGTGGCCCATGAAGCTCATGTGAAAGGCCTCTCCCTATGAGCACAATTTGTTTTGAACAGTATAGTAATATATAATTTGTCCAGTGGATTGCATTTCATACAGTGTCAAACTGGATTTTAAGACCCAGACAGAATGTTCTTTATTCCCAATCCTATTGCATCACTGACTGAAATTCCTCAGAAATGTTTGAGAGAGGAGGAGCTGAGGAAAATGGCCGGCATACAAGTTTTATTGGAAAATTACATTTTCTGATGCATTAATTTCTGTCACTGAATCTGTTTCAGGACGCGTCCATGCCACAGACTACTCTAATGCCAGTGCAACAGGAATTTTCGACTCCTATCAGGTCTGGTGTGTGTCATGTTTATTTACTGTTTCTTCCTGTTTTGGGGTTGTTTCCACATCACTGTCATTTTAATTTTTTTACAGATGTGTTGGAGTGGATTGCTCTGCTCTCTTGTGTCTCTGCCTCATTCCATTTTCCCCAAAGTAGAAAATACAGGGTGAGTCAAATATTTACTTAATATAAAAGTATACATATGATTGCATTTACCACAAAGGTACTTTTCTCAGTATTGCAAGAATCTCTTGTTTTGTTCTGTTTCTCTGAAATATTGTACACTTTTACCTCTTCTGCCCTCTAAAATTAAATAATTCTTCTGTTGCTTTGTGTTAAGGGGTCACAAGCGAAAAAAAGAAGCACTGCTTAAGTGAATATAAAACTCACATTTTACGAAACACTAGATTTAACAGTTGCTATTTAAGCTGTTCGATTGGACAAGTCCCATTTATTTATGTCATTAAAAAACCTCATAAGGAGCCCACTGGTGGCTCCCCTGGTGGAGCTGCAGCTCACTGGGATCTCAGCATGGATTATGTATGGTTGTCATTCCCAATGTGTGATTGCGGCCGTTAGAAAACTGAGGAAGAGTGTGAGATGATGCATTGTCTCTGGTTTCTCCCTCATGATCCTGCAGCCATGACTTTGGTTCAACAGACACGTCCATCTTCGGAGTGCCTATTCCCATTATGTCAGTGGTGAGTTGTCCAGGTCTGTGGCGTCACACTCTCTCAACTGTCTCTTATCTTTGTGATTACAATTAAAAACATTCAATGCAAACCTCTGATTACGTTTATGCCAGCGTGTCCAAGTTGTGTCACCGCCATTATGTTGTAAAAAGAAACGAAACCAGATAATCAGCGGCAAGGAACTTTCTGCTCAAGAGTAGAAACTATAGAAAGTGTAATGAAGTATTGAATCTGTAAGTGACACAGGATCTTCATCTCATTATTATTGTCCTTTATTGGACACCATAGGAGACCGTGTGAGTTTTAGACCTTTCCAGTTTTGCTCAGGTGAGACTAAACCTGTTTAGGGTTTTTGTTTTCACAACATATGAATGACTTCCTCTGCCATAGATGGCGGACCAGCAGGCAGCCATGTTTGGAGAGTGCTGCTTTGACGTTGGTGATGTCAAGATCACCATGGGAACGGGCACCTTCATGGACATCAACACCGGGAACAAGCCACATACATCCGTAGCAGGTTCGGCGACATAGGCACACATTTAGATAATTCTATCCAGATTTGTCTGCACAGGCACATTACAAGCCAGTGTTTGTCCTCTGTAGGTCTGTATCCTCTGGTGGGGTGGAAGATTGGCTCAGAGGTGGTGTATCTGGCAGAGGGCAATGCCGCAGACACAGGCACTGCCATCAAATGGGCACAGGAGCTCGGTGAGTCACGAGTAGTATACAACAGCTCTGGTGATTGCTTCTTTTTCTTGCTATTTGCAAGAAATTGTGGCTGGTAGTGGAAATGTTCTATAACAGTGTGAAAATGAGGCCACTGATTACACTGAGTATGTTAGTGACAGATTCAAGGTCGTGTGTGTGTGTTGCAGAGCTCTTCTCTGACGTGCAGGAGACCACTGCCATGGCTTACAGTGTCAGTGACTCAGACGGAGTGTGTTTTGTCCCTTCCTTCAGTGGCCTGCAGGTACAATGTGCATCTGTGGGTGTATCTGTGTCGAATAATTCTTTTATATACCGATGGTATTTGGTATAATGTGTACACAACCCCATTCACCCACAGCAAAACAATGTGTTCTCCCTCCAGCACATATAGTTAGATTTTTAACCAATGTGTTTCTTTTTTTTCCTCTGCCCTCCGTTATGAACTGGCCTTTGTAAGTGTGTGTTCTGAGTGTTTATAATTTATATGCAACGATAGAACCTGTTTCCTAAGAGTTAGATACAGTAACCATGTAAAACAGTAGCTTCTACCCCAGAGGACCATGACCATTCATCCATTTTTAAACTTTTTTAATCAGGTCTGTTTTTCACTTATTGACATGTTTGTGTGTATACTTTATTTATCCAAGGCTCCTCTGAATGATCCCAAAGCCTGTGCTTCTTTCATGGGCCTCAAACCTTCCACCACGAAGAGCCACCTGGTACGAGCCATTCTAGAGTCTGTTGCCTTCAGGTGAGTCATTTTAAAAAGGTTTCTTCGGTTTAAATTTCTTTACCATCCATTCTCACCCACGCTTATTTTTTGCAGAAACAAGCAGCTATATGACACAATGCTGAGAGAAACTCACATTCCCATCACAAAGATCAGGTACAGTTTTCCTCATCCACTGTGTGATTTGATTCTAGTAATGTCAGGTTGCTTTAGAGGTGAAAAGATTCAACATAGCAGGGTCTAAAATCTAATTATCAGAATTTTAGTCTCAAAATGTCTTAAATATGATATCCTATGATAATTTGATTATTAAAGTGAACGAAAAAATTTTAAAGTTGCATTTGTCAGTCTTGCTTTTAATGTGTTTTCAGGAAATATTAGTATTGATTAAGCTATAACAACTACAAAAAGTACTCGACATGGAACCAATACTTATTTGTCCTCATATCCATCATCCCTTTTTCCAGTATGGACATGATGATGGACACTTAAATTTCGTCCATAGTTTGTCATTTAACTCTCATCATAGTTGTCTTACAACCCTTTAATATCCTAACTTACAGTGCAATATCTGATTGTAGGACTTGGACTTTAGCCAGCAAACTGGGTGTAACAGAATGGATTCTTGTGTACCCTGCCTCTACTAATGCAGTTCAGGTTTTATTGGCAATGCATTATGGGTGTATGTTTCTCTGATATTGTTACGGTAAAGTGAGTTGCAGTGTAATTGAGTGCTCTATCTTTCTTTGCTTCTGTCTCAGGGTGGATGGTGGTGTTTCCTCCAATGACTTCGTCATGCAGCTGACTGCAGACCTGTTTGGCAGAAAGGTAGCCAGACCCCAGCACCATGAAATGTCCTGTTTAGGGGCTGCTTTTGTCGCTGGACTTGGAATCGGTATGGAGACAAACAGTACCACACATGTACATTATGCTGTATGCCTGTGGTTTTTTAATCATATTAACTCAAAGGTCCACATCTGATTTCAATGCAAGGTCAGAGGTAAAAAAAAAAAAAAAATGTTCAATCAACTACATTAATGAAAAACTACTTTTATACTGGTTGTAAAAATGTTATCTGGCTTTTGGGATATTAGGTTGTTGAGTAGATAATCAGTTTTTAATTTTGGGATTCAGATATTCGTGGTCTCTTACTGCACACTGCTGCACACACAGCTGTTTGGCCCGCCCCACCCTGCCTCTTTGTATTTCTCTCTTGCAGTATCAAATAGGGATGCGCTTTTGACTTTCTTTGTCAAAGTTGCCCAAAAAACTCAACTCGCGGTTTTGGATTTTTATTATTTAATAAGTGGATAACAAGAGTATTTACGAAACCAAAGAATTTACAAAACGACAAGGTTGTGGATAAAATTCACTAGCATAAAATAATAAGAAAAAGAAAACCAAAAAAAGGGGGGTGTGAATACAAGTCTTGATGGGTAGTGTTGGGGAGTTATAATACTGGGTGTGAGAGGTGGTGTGTAGAGGAATCAGCTCTGGATGAACTGTAAGAAAGGAGACCATGTGTTATAAAATGGGATCAGATTGTCTCTTAGGGACGATGTGAGCTTTTCTGGGTTTGAATGGTCTGATAATAAATTGAGCCAATGGTTTATTGATAGTTTCGCTCTGTCTTTCCCGTTGAGTAGTGTGGTTTTCTTGGCCACAGTACACTGTATCACACACTATCAAGAGGAATGTTTGGAGACAATCTCTTCACTAGTTAATCAGTAGATGGTGTCAGTCTCTTGGACGGATGAAACAAAAAATAAAAAGTCATACTCAGCTCCCATCATGTTAGACAACTTTACACTTAATTGTATTCATAACGCAAGGTATGGGCTATGTTCATATTCACTTGCCATCCAGTCCAGTGTGCGTCCAGTCCGGATGCACACTGGGGTCACCGACTAAGAGAAGCCCTGCTCTATGCTTTGTAACATTTGTACTGGAAAGTGAGTTTATAGCAATACTATACTTTTTTGGCAGGAGGGAAATTGTCCTGAGAGTTGAGGTTCTCTGTGAAGCTGTGTGTCTTACAGATGCTGCTCAGCATAAACGTTATAATGTGGAGATGAAATAAGAAGCTGCTCTGTAAAGCAGTTAGACACTTCAACATTACTCTTTAGTTTCACTGTGTTTCTTTGTTTTTCTCTAAAAATATTGCAACACTTGGTCATGACATTGAGTTGCATTTGAAAAGTTATGATCAAAAATCCTATTTTTATTCTTGGCAGTGGCAGAAGAAGTGCACTGAAATGCTGCTCTTTGTTATGTAACCTGTTTTCCATTTAATTATTCACATTATGTAATTAGATTATTATACATTAGTCAGTGCTTAATCAAATCAAACACAGAAGACGGTTTTATAACAGGCCAAAAGCAGGTGGTGCTGATGACTGAATAATTATGTGAATCACGTGTTTGAGAAACATTAGTTCTTAGTGGCTCAGTAGCCAGTGGGGTTGGGTGATACACCACTTTCATTGGCTAGCTGTGTATTTGGGTGCAAAGAATCATTTATATCACTCAAAGTGCCAAATTCTGATTTTATAGGACTTCCTGTGTCATACATGTGTCATTTAAAGGTTTTATATTAATGTTTTTGTACCTAAATCTTCCTCTCTTTCAACTGTGACTGCAGGCTTCTGGAGGAGCAGGGACGAGCTGAAGAAGCTGCAGAGCACCGACGAGGTGTTCTTGCCCCGAGGAGTACCCAGGGAGGGCGTTTACAGCCCAAGTGGGGATTACATCCCCGTCCTCCAGAGCTGGGAGAGAGCTCTTCGTCGCTCCATGAATTGGTACAACAAGCCTTGACACTGGATGCACACACAGGGAGATGAAATGGGAAGATGGAGACATGAGTTTTAGGTATAAGTGAAAGTAGACTCTTTTTAAACAACATGACTGTTTTGTGTCTCTTGGAGGGGTCCGGTAAAGGTCTGAGCCAAGCCGTAGTGCCAGCAGCCACGTTTACCACCTGCACAGATTTGAATTGTTATCCACATACAGTAGTTTCTTCACCTTTTACTTGATTTCTTTGTGACGTTGCGGCCTTATCAGGTTTATCCTTCATTCATTCCAGATCTCAAGCCACTGGTGCCTCTTCATATTACATTGTTTTATTCTGATGGAATCACATTTGTACATTTTCCCACATGGGGGCACTAATGACTGCCTTTACAGCTTGTTCATTTAGGAACTTGCCATAGCAACCACATGACATGTTAGTAAGGAGCCACAGATTTAAAAAACAAAAAAAAAAAAAAACACTGATTCTTCTGTTCATGACGCCTCGAGATTTAAAGCGTTCTTACAGGGGCTAGAATTTAAAAATTGTTACAGACATTCAACAAACACAGTTTACTATTTGCCAATACTTGACGTTGCTGTTTCCTCGTGATTTAACAATATTTTAACTTTGTTATTTCAACCTTTGTGCAAAGGTGCAATCAAACATGTAACAAAATATAAAATATAAATGTCTAAAATATAAAATATAAATGTCTAAAATATAAAAAGTTAAACAAGGTAAACAGCTGACAGTATATAGTACAGATTTCTGGTCCACATCCATGTGACAGACGTAGTCCCTCTTTAACACCTTCTCCTGTTCGGATTACCCCGTTCTGCTTAACCCCCTTTTTTGCGTTGTTTTCATGCACATTTCCTGCCTGAATGCGTGCCATGCAGTAACTTAAATGTGATGATAATTTTGTTAAATGTGACTGGAACAAAATCTGAATGTATATGTTTTGCTCTGCACATGGGAATCGTACTGGATTTTAGTATTTCAGCACCTCGTTGTCAGTAATGGTTCTCTGCTTCTTTGATACAACGCACATCTCAAGTGGCAATGAATTAGAAAATAATGGGGGGGCAATAAAAGTTGGTGGTGAGAGAGATGTTTAGAGGTATATGTGGCATTGTAACAGCTGTTGTAGATTTTTATGTCAGCTCCCACATAGATCTCCAACACAGACTAGGACCTGCATGCTCACGTTGATCAGGGATATAAATATGAATTAGGACGTATATAAATATGTACTGAGTCTTATTCCATGCCAATCCATGTTGTGTAGCCATTATTTCAGTTTATTAGTTTGTGTTTATTGTTGAATTGTTCCATGGGGGACAGCTATGTTGTCATATGATAATGTTCTGACTTAAGTCTTTTATTTGACCTGATGAACTCTGATGACAAAGTTACAAATACTAATCATGTTATGATTAAAAAATGCTCACAAATAACAATGAAAATGTAAAGTGTGCATCTCATTCTGGATGTGCTGCACTTGCTGGGTATTGTTAAATGTTTTTGCCAATTGCTTATACTGTAATATCATTCTTTCTACTTCTACTAAAACATTTGTTATGCAAAGTGAACACTATGTGTAAAGCAGAAATTAACACCTCAAGAAATGACTTTCCATTTCTAACACTTACGTACTTCATTCAGTTTTTGAATGGCAAATGTCCTCCCGAGCTGCTAGGAATTAACAGATAGTATGTTTGTGTAATTATACATTCTGTTACCAAATTGCATTGAAATATCAAATACTTTGTGTGATGCAAAAGGGTTAGTATTAAAAGCATGAATGATCTGCAGTTGTTTGTGGTGATTTGAGTGTCCTCCAGTGGGTGTCACCGACATGGTGACTGAACAGATGCTGCCTAAAGGGTTTTACCTCCACGTGGACTCTGGGGAAATGCTGTAGTCTTGTGTCTGGGGAATTATCAGAAACACAGGCTGTTAGATGAGTGCAGGGATTGCTTCCCATTGATCAACCTCACTGTGAGGGTTGCTATGGTAGCTTGCGGATGGAGTGACTGAGAACAAATGGGGTGTGTTTTCCTGCTCATGGTGCTGGTATGGTGAAGGGGGTGCTAATTGAGTGCACAGAAAGGGGGTTTTCCTAAACAATGGGAGGATTGTGCGCTTGTCCCCTCGGAGGAAGAGCAGAAGTGAGTTTTTTGTACATCGCATAGACCCATACAGTATAGTTTTTCTGCGTCACCCCCGACCCCCACCCCCTCCCCTTCCTCTGCTGAAACACTTCCTCTAGTCTAGCTGTCAATCTCAGCTTTCTCACTCAAACATGGGCAGTTATTTGCCAGTGGGCTTGGCTTGCAGTGGGATGCCTTCACAGAGAAAAATGTGCTAGAGTGAGTGAGACAGACAGGACTAGCCCATGAATCAGTGCTGCTGGCTCTCACACTAATCAGGAAAATGTGTGTGTGTGTGTGTGTGCTGGTATTGTGCTTGGTACCGCATTGTACGAGTTGTGGTGGACCCTGCCTTGCAACAAATTCAATCTGACAGCAGGAACTGGATGCAATGCGACCACTACTCCAGTCCCCCTCCCCCATACGAGCTGAACCCTGCATCAAGGGTCATTATGTAACTCCCTCTTCTCTCTTCTCTGTCTCCGTGACACACTGGGATTGTTCGGTGGAGTGCCGGGGTTGGAAGTTAAGCTTTTGTATTCTTCTTTTTTTCCTGTCACTGTCTCAGGCCTTCAACGCCCCCCCCGCCCCCCCAACTCCTCTCAGTTCTGTTCATTTCAGTCATTGGCACGGCATACATGTGTACAGACGTTGGCAAAGCAGAGGCTTGGATATCGTTCAGATGAGGTTTGTTCAGCAGCTGTAGCTAATATATTAATATCAGTGTAAAACTGCTGGAATGAGACGCCATCATTTTCCACCCCCCAAAAAAAGTGTTCTCTGTTAACTTCTAGACATCTGTTTACAATCATGCTCTCTATGTACTCTCTACCTCTCTCAACCCCCCACGTCTGTCTTCCTTCATCTCTCTGTCTTGATCTCGGTCTTCCTTACTCTCTCCATCTCTCTCCATTCCTCTCTCTCTTCATCTTCCTCTGTCTTCATCTCTCTCTCTCTATGTCCTCCTTTGTCTCTCTGTCTTCCCCCCTCTCTCTCGCTCTCTCTCTTTGTCTCTCTCCCATACTCTTACACAGGCCACACACACACACACACACACCACACACACAACACAACACACACACACACACACTAGTTTCAGTAGTGCTCAATTGCCATGGCAACAAGGATTGGCAAATGCTCCAAATATCTATGCTCAGCCAGTCAGTCACAAATAACATCCTCACAGGCTTCAAATATGCTGACCACTGGCATTTATGTACATATATATACATATATGTGTGTGTGTATATATGTACATATGATTAACATATTGCTGTGGTTATATTATGTTACATATATATCATATGTTTGTGGGTGTATATATGTAAGGATGTCTGGTTGGGCCACTCGGTGTCTTTTATACTGCGCTTTGCGCTGTTTGTCCCCCATGGCACGCTATAGTTTTGAGGTTTTCTCTGTGTTGGACGCCATGTTGTCCAAACTTTGTGTTGCCATATGCCCCATAAGGTAAGTTGTTCTTGACGTCAAATGATGTTATTGTGTAATATATGTTGTATATGACCCGTAAGGTGGAGGAGCCAGCCGCGACTGTGAGATACAGCAAGAGGTTCTTAAAGTGAATCTAAGTTTCAACCACAATCTCCTTTCTCCTCACACAAAACCCCATCAGACAGCTCCTTGGGGTGTAGAGGGGTGCAGGCGTGCAGTGGGAGTGGGTTACATATGTGTGTGTGTGTGTGTGTGTGTGTGCACGCTAAACCAGAGCTTTCTATACAGTGATTAGAGCATCAATTGCTGTCGAAATCCACTCCAGCCTGTACGATTGGTTACTGGTTTGGTGACTCATACGATCAGAGGCGCTGTGGTAAACCTATAACGAATCATATCTAATTTCAGATTTCCTCATATCAGAATATTAGCATGATGCCATAGATGACTAAAACATACCTAAAGCGGACCTATAGGTTCACCACTGAGTGCCACGGACACACCGTGATCCTCTCGTTTCACACTGGAAATGTCACATTTTTGCGTTTTTCTTGCGTTTGCTGAAGGACCCCACAGCCTGTAGACACCTCACATAAAATGGAGATCCCAAACGCATGTAGCCACTATAATATAATTGATGATAAGAGAGATAGTGTGCGCTCTATTTATAATTTGTGCGCGTAACGGTGCGTCTCTCCGTCATTAGCCAATGTGCATCCATCTGGTCGCACTGCATCAGCTGCCACGGCGGGGCTTGTGTGGACGTCACAGATCTCTCTCTCTCTCTCTCTCTCTCTCTCCTTTCCTCACCTTGCCCTTCTCGTTTTTTTGTTCTGCCAGAGCATCTCTCTCGTTCTGCTCTCTCCCTCTCTCTCTCCCTCTCTCCACCGCCCACTCCACTCACCGCCGCCTCGCCGGCTTCTTCGCCTCACCACATCGCCCGCTGCCCCCTTTTTCTGCATTTTTTAAGGGAGAAGAAACCGCACATTTTGCACCGGAAAAAAAAAAAAAATAGATCAACATGGCGAGCACCGAGGATAAACCAGCCAACAAGGAGAACACGTCCAGCTGGAAGGACTCCATCTACAACCCGAGGACCGGGGAGCTGATGGGTCGCACGGCCAGCAGCTGGGGTAAGGGTCCCCGTTACACAGCAGTCAGTCAGTAGATGTGCTTTGACATTCACGGGGCTTAAGCCTAATCTGGTGCCTTCCTCTTCCCATTTTCAAAGCATTAATAGACGCGTGCCTCCTCAATATAAAGCCTACTGTATACTCCTGTGCATGGATAGATTCAAATGACTGCCATATAGATATGGATTAGCGGAGGAACCATCATAGGCCTACATGAAGGTGTAAAGGAGAAGCCTGTACCAAGAGGCTCACCAAGATGAATGATGCTACCAAAGGTGTGCACCAGTCTCTCGTTGCTGCATAGGCAGAAATAACCAATACAGGCGATGATCAGTCACAGCAGCAGAGAATTTCTTTTTTAATGAATATTTATCATCTGCATTAACAGGATTATCAGGAAATCCACAGTGAAGACCCCAGCTGATAAAACCCCTCATTACCTAATCATATCTGAGGAGGGTGCTACAGCATTCATGACTGATCAGGCCATACATTTTATGTAATGATCCCCGGTTATTTCCACAGTGAGGTAGTAACACACCACCCTCCCTCCAGCAGCCAGCTCCTATAGGCTAGCGCACGGGCTGTCAGGCAGCCCGGGCCCCTGTGCTGCTGTGCAGTGGGATGCTCCATTGCAGTTGCATGGCCGCCCACATTAGCATGCCTGTCAAGGTCAAATGGGATTCCCTCTCTCCTCTTTCTCTCCTTTTCACGCACTGGGCAGGTGCATTGTGGGATACTGTTGGAGAGGAATGAGAGGAAGGGGGGGGTGTACAGCAGGAAGCTGAGGGGTCCATCCTTTTTTTTTTTTTTTTTCTGTCAACTTAGAGGGCATCCGTGCTGTGCAAGCTGGATGGTTGTGAACCATTTTGAGTCAAATGTTTCCATAACTGTGGCTCTTTTTTGCCCCCCCTCCCCTCCCCTGCATTGGATAAATGAGGCTTCAGATGCTTTGAGCAAACAGCGTCATCCCTAAATCCTGTGTGATGTGAAACTTCTCCAGTGAGGGGTCTCCAGTAAAAAAAATGGCCTCTGATTTGTGAGCAATGAGTAGCAATTCCCCCTTGACCCAAAATGGATTCTCTCAAAGGGATCTTACACTCAAAAGACAATCTCCTTCACCTCACAGATAAGAAAAGTGTGGAATCAGAATGCTGTTGTCCAAGCTCGTGTGAGGTTAATTATACATGACCCCTCTCTGTCTCTTCCCCTCATTATGTCTCCTTTCTATTTCTGTTTCTCCAAACTCCCTCCAGCCCTCATCCTGTTGTTCTACCTGGTTTTCTACTGTTTCTTGGCTGGTATGTTCGCCCTGACCATGTGGGTGCTGCTGCTCACTCTGGATGACTATGTGCCAAAGTACAGAGACCGCGTCCCCTATCCAGGTTAGTGTCTGTCAACATACGAGTACAGGGGAGGAAACAGGGCTTTCAGCTACTGTAACTGGCAGCATTTTCTCTTTGAGCACATTCATTATTCATACCTGCACCAATAAGATGCTGTCACAATAATGTGCTACATTATAGCTGCTTCTTGTTATTGATCTATTTTGAAGTCTGTTCCTGTGTGATGTCAGCAGGGCAGTTTGTTTGCTGTAATTCGAGATGAACCAACAGCGATGGCTGTGCATTAGTTTCTCTTGGTGGGATCATTTACTACTTTACTCTATGTTTACTTTGCTTTTTGTCTGTGTTGCAGGATTGATGATTCGCCCAAATTCACTGGATATCATGTTTAACAAATCTGACACGTTGAAGTATGAACAGTATGTCAAAACCTTGGAGAACTTTCTGCAAAGTAAGTGCACTTCTCCCTGATGCAAAGATAAATGAATATTAAAACAGATTCCATTCTCTTTCTCCCGGATCATTAGCCAGTGATTCATTCCATTTATTTGAGTGTATCTCGGCTCATGTCCGGCTCTTTATCTCTCTCAGGATATAACGATACAGAGCAGGAGAAGAACAAGGACTGCATACAGGGAGAGTATTTTGAGCAGAACAACAACGAGGAAATGACAAAGGAAGCTTGTCGCTTCAAGAGGAGCCTCCTGAGTCTCTGCTCCGGCCTCTCTGACACCAGCTTTGGCTATTCTGAGGGAAAACCTTGTGTGCTGCTGAAAATGAACAGGGTAATGCTCACTTTCACTGAGCACTCCTCTTCCTCTCCTCTCCTCTCCCTCTGTCTTTCAACCTTTTCGTCCTTCACAGCAGTCCAATGATTCATTTGATTAATTTCTAACTTTAGTTCCACACATGCAGCAGTCTGAACCTCTCCTGTTTCCCTCCCCTCATAGATCATCGGCCTGAAGCCCCGTGGGGATCCCTACATCAACTGCACAGTAAAAGTAAATGTGTTTTTTCACACTATACAGTACATGTTCTATTTGCTTGTACGTGTGTTCTTTTCTTTTTATTTCTCATAAAAAATGACCATAACAGTCTCAATATTTTGTTTCTGTTGATCTTTCATTTCTTCCTTCTTTTTGTTTGTTTTGTGTCGGATTTCTTTCTGCATGCTGTCACTGACGGCGTTAGGGTAAGATAATATGTAAATTATGAGGATAAGGCCAGTAGGAGTGTTAACACATTTTTATTATGTAACACGTCATTACGCAGGTGCCTCTAAACCCATCTTAGTACCTTTTCTAAGTCATTTAAATCTAATCGGCATAATTTTAGCCACAAATGTCCTTTTTGGAGATTGAAGCAGAACACAACATGTTTCCTACCTTATTTAAATCTCTTCACTAACAAGAAAGCGTCATGGATTTTCCTTTTTTTCATGTCCTGTCTCATGTGATCTTGAAAAACAATGTCTAATTTGCTATTAATTTAAGATAATAAAATGCATATAATGTAAAATTTACACCGACTTACACATGTTCATCTTTGTAGAGAGAGACCCCAATCCAAATGCAGTATTTCCCCAGTGAGGGGCGTATTGATAAGATGTATTTCCCCTACTACGGCAAGAAAGCCCATGTAAGTATCAATCCCCTTGGTCAGATCACATCCGCTAACATTCTCACGTGGATGTATTATTGACAGGCGGCTGTCTCTTTCCTAATGCAGGAGAGTTACGTGCAGCCCCTGGTGGCTGTGAAGCTGCTGCTCACCAAGGAGGACTTCAACAAGGAGCTGTCGGTGGAGTGCAGGGTAGAGGGCTCTGACCTTCGCAACAACGACGAAAGGGACAAGTTCCTGGGCCGCATCACCTTCAGGATCAAGGTAGTCGAGTAAAAGAGAAGACGGCCGGTAAAAAGGAAACCTGATGCAGAGGCTGCCAACGTTTGCTAAGGATTTATGTTCAAAAATCTGAAAGAAAAAAAAAATGAGAGGAAGGAAGTGTCAAATACGTCACAAAGACGCCATATATTATTGGGGTGTGGCCAAACTGTTTGATGCAGATTGGTTTGGTTTCCAGTAGGACAGCCAGTTAGATGCAGAAATTGAATGTTGCTTTGATGACATTTCTGACCCTTCTTTCCTTCATTATTCCTTGCTGACCTCCTCAAAGATTCCCAGAACAAGACACAGGCTCTGCTCCCCTGACCCCATCCATCCACCCTTTCATTCACCTGTTGCACTGTTCATTCCTCACTCAGTTAATCTTTTTTATTTTATTTTTAGCATTGATGTGATTAGAGAATTTATAGCCATTGCAACCAAGCCATTTGGAGCTGTCGTGTAATTGCTGAAACAACTTTTTTTGAAATGTTTTTAGATCTTCCTTCTGTCAGGAAGAGAGTGTTGTTTTCATCTCTCCAAGCTGTATGAACGACTGTGTTAGCACTGGTGTTGAGAGGATTTTTATCTTGCTGTATAGTACAATTGAGAAAGTGACATTTCCGACATATCTCCAGAGTATTCATAGTATCACATCACAAAGACTTCATAGGAACATACCTTGATAATCAAGTATAGCCACTGTATCCCTGTATATGAAATGCCAATTACAAAGTCCCTTTCTACATATAAATACATTGTGATCCTTACCATATTTAGGGAATTATAGATAGATCTTTGTGTTGTGGTCTGCGTAGCCACAACCCAGTCTTGTGCTGTCTGTCTGTCTGTCTGCATGTCCGTCTGTCTGTCTGCCCGTCTTCCTGTTTACTCACCTCTCCACTGCAATAGCCGATATTGTGGGTGAGCCCTCCAGGACTAGATAGGTTGTCTCACTCCACCTCGCGAGGGTGCTGCGTATTGATGGTGGGTGAGGCGACACACACGCACACACACACACATACACAAAAGGTACAGTGTAAAAACTGCTGTTAAGGCGGAGAGGCAATGGAGAAGCGTTGCAAAAATAAAAAGTTCACTGTAACTATGTACTGTATATCTTTACGTGATCTGTATATCTATCTGGGTCTCAAAGATTGTTTGTTAGTTTTCTCTCTTCTTCAGCCTGTTGATCTGATTGTCTGCCAATCTATTACTCTTCAATGTATATATATACACTATCTACCATATTTACTTAATTCACACTGTATTTTTGTCACAAAACACAATGTCTGTGCACTGTAAAGAAATAATTTAAGCAAAGATTTACAGGAAATTATCTTATTCAAAGCTATGTTTACACAGTCTTAAAAGGAACCCGCATTTGAAAGAACAACTTGTAACATCTCTTCAGGGTGCCTTAAGACCTGATTAAATAAATTGTGGAATAAAAGTGATTTTGAAGAAAAAAAAAAAAAGATTTTCCCCGTCTTCTTTTTTAATGATTTCTTAATTTGGACTGTAGCTTTTAGTCAGTGGTAAAGTAAAGGTCCTGCATTTAAATTAAATTAAAGTGTTGTCAGCAAAATATACTTAAAGCGTCAAAAGTTAGAAATTACATTATATTATTATATACATATGTTATAGTGATGCATTAATGTATAAGTTGCATTTTAATGATGTAGCTGCTGGAGGTGTAGTTTATCCCAACCTGGTGGTCCAGCTCCCTCTAAAGGCTCACAAGATAAATCCGTGGGGTCATGAGATGATTAATGGAAAGACGAAAAAACAGGAAGAACAAAGTTCTGCTTCACAAAGGTTATTTGGACTTTTCTCTAATCTTTGCTTTTTTTGCTTTTTTTGAGTGAAATATTGGATCATAAGGTTCAAGTGGAAATTATTTTTTTAGCCTGGTTCGCAGTTTATCTCTGTTTTTGAGGAAAGTCAGTGTTATTTCCTCAAATGGGCCAAAACAGCAAACAGAAGATTTAATTTGAAAATTATAGTCAATAAAATAATCTCTATGGACTGTAAAATGAAATTACATAATACTTGTGTCTTGTCTTTCAATCAGTAACCACTCATCATTGTAGCACAAATCTGCAGCCACAGGAGGGAGCCAGAAACAAGAGGGGCAGAGCGAACTGTTGGTGAGAGTGTGGCTCAAACATGGTGTTGCCAGAGATACGCCTACTGGGCAGCTGCAGAGAAGAGGTTAGTGAGCCATTTTACATAAACCATGTTTGCAGCAGATACACAGAGAGATGTTGAGAAATCCACACAATTACACTTGATAGTGGGTTCCACAATATCGGGAGGCAGCCACTGGGTAGATCCTTCTCTTCCTTTTCACCTCCACCATTAAGGTCATATCCAATAAACTCATATTGACTTGTGCTAAAATGTGTCTAAAAAAAGGAGGTAACACCTTATTAGCTACCCTTTGTTCTATTTTGAATGATTTTAAACCAGCAGTTATATCAACTAGTTATATTTCTAATTATTTTAAAGTTTAAACATACACTGTGGCTTAATCAGTGAGTGAATGGTTATAGCTGTAACTATACCCACAGCACTGGCTGTAGAAGTCAGAGTACATCAGGTCAGTGTTAAATTAAGTCTGATCACACCTGTCTGCTCTAATTTCACAGCACCCCCATCCATCAAGCTCCCACAGTGCCCCGAGGCAGCAGCAGCTCTGTCCTTCACTGTCAGCAGCAGCCTGTCCCCAGGTCCTGCTATATGAGATAATCTCTCGGGGTTTAGCTGCAGCACGAATCCACCTTAGTGTCTCCTGAACTCTTACCGTCCTTGAGTAAGAACATTGTAAACAAGTGGCGTAAAAGAAAATACCAAACAGGTATTTTCATCTGTCTCTTTCTTGGACTGGTGGCAAATAATTTGACAAATGCTGTAAATTAGGGAAAGTCTGAGCTGTAAATATCATATTACATATATGAATGTGTCTGTTTTTAATATGTTAGTTTTTGACTATTATTTTCAGTAGGTTTACTGATTTACTACAGTAATTTAATTCATGCAGCATTGTTTGAAAAAAAAAAAAACAACAACTAAAAGCTTATGTGAAAATGTGGTGAAATAACGTTTTTCAGCCGAGCACTGTAGCTGCTGTTCTCTGCTCAGACCTGTCAGTCGTCAGTAACATAAAGATGTTTCAGAACCTGAGGGGATTTAAAGCTGATTTAAGCAAAGAAGGCACAAGGATAACACTGGTTATCGCCTTATCAGCTAAGAGTTGAACTTGCCAATTTGCGGCAGCCTGGAGCACAGCCTGGCTGTAGTCAGCATCCTGAACGGGATTACTGCAGCTGATATTTTTAGGTTTTACTCTAGCGTCCTCAGCAGCACTTTCTCCCTGGTTATATTTAGCCCAGAGAACATGCGTAACATGGCACAATTTGAGCTTCTCTGACGCTGGTCGTAGGTGTGTTTTTAAAGCCTCAGGACTACAACAAATGAATATTCATATTCACAGAACAGACACACACTTTAAAAGACATATGTTTTAATTTATTCAGATGATTCAAGATTCAAGGAAGTTTCTGCTTTACATCTCATATTTCTATAGTAGCAATTCCTTTTATGTTATATTTACAAGGACATGTATCATATACATTTATATCATATTAACATTAACTTTAAAAACTCAACTCTGCCCAACATCTGGAAATTTAAAAACTTAGGAAATAATTACCCTGAGACAAGTAAACAAGAATAACAAGGATTTTCTTTTGAACTAACCCAAGTCTCTATACTCAGCTTAACAACCACAATAGTGGAGTCTTTTTCAGGATCTGGCTAGTTTGAGTTATTCACACTCATCTCAAACTAAGAAAAGAGCCCTGATGTATCACAGTGTTTTAGGGCCATGGATAGGGCAACCTGTACAGTTCTGGTATGGGAATTTATTGCCCAACTCCTCTAATTTTTCCTCCTTCATGTGCAGCAATTAACTGCTGTTTCTTCACTCATCTCTCTCCCAGCATCCCAGGGCTACAGACTTTTCTCATAGCACCAACAGTAGAGGGACTGAAGAGGTGAAGAGTATTCTTCATTTTCTTCCAAACAAACCCTACATTTTAAATTACTTACATATTTGCCTTTCTCTCTGTGCATAGATATATTTCTTTATATACAATAAATACAATTGCAGATGCCTTTTATAGTTTATATAAAACTAAAATATGTAGGATGTCAATGCAGTGATCAACCTTAATTATGAGGTTTATGATCACAGCATATAATATTAAACACTAGAACTATCTCTTCCACATGTGCTTAAAAAGCACTCTTTAAACAGTTTTCAGGGTTTGAAGACATTTGTTCCAGTTGGTTTAAAGCGTAATGTTGAATGCAACAGCAGTGCTTCAGAATGTAATTCTACTGCAAATACTTTTACAGTTTGGACATTTTCTTCATAAAGTAATATAGTGTTTCTGGCACAAAGGCCTCTAACGTACTAATCTAACACTAGCATCCTTAATGAAAAGGTTGTAAAAATGAACTCTAGCTGTTAACCAAAGAGATGATGCTGAAAATACATCATCACATCCTCCATAAATTACTGAACCTTGCCTTCAAAGCAGTAGATCTTTAAACCAAGAGCATCCTTACAGGAGAGGGGTGGTACATCTTTCTCAACGTAGATGCTCGTGCATGCCTCTTTCATAAAACATGATCCCTCTCTTACATCAATGTTAATGTGCATATGACTGAGAAAACAAATTATTGAGTGTTATTACTGGTATATGATATCACACATGTGGATTCTCACAGCAATATACACGTGCCGGACTTCTTTTCATCGTCAGGATCTCCTCCACCCTCTTTCCTGTTGGGATCATTGAGCTCGTCAAACAGTCCAGTCTCAATCATCTCCTGCTGCCACTGAATGGGCACAGCACCTGTGTTAAACTCCTTGAAGAATTTGTCGTCCTTTGCGTCAAACTCGATGCCCTTGATCTCGGAGAACTCTGCGATGTCGCCGGTGTCTTTGGCATAGACAACGTTGGGCTTGGGAACCCAAGGAGGATCCACCAGCCCTGCCTCCAGACGGGGGAAGTTGATGGTCTTGAACCACGAGTGCTTCCTGGGATCCTCCATGTTGTTCCTAAAGAGAGGTGGTTGAAAACAACAACATTAGACTAGAAATAAGAATAGAGTGGCTGCACAGGTTGATGCAACAACTGGTTACGGTTAAGTTGAACCTTACTAAACCAGGTCATTCATAACAAGCTTGTTACTCCAATCTCTATTTCGTGAACCAAAATGCCAATAAATATCTGACAAATTAATATTTTTATGTTTATGGAACTGATTTCAGATTTAATTTTGAAAAATATACTATTATTGATATACTTATTCCAATTCCATTGACACACCATGTACCAAATATTCAGATATGCTACGCCACAGTGTGCTGCCACTTAACAGCCCATGGCTGAATTATATCTTAAAAGAGTAGAAGAACCTCTTACTTTATACCCAGGCGCTCTTCAATTTTCTTCTTGAGGAACTGCTGGATGATGTCCTTGGTTTCAGCATCAAAGCATTTGTGCTCCCACTTGGGTTCCTCGTTGAGAATGCGGCGCTGTACCTCCTCCTTCTCCACCTTCACCTTCTGGCTCTCAGCGCCTTTGAAAGGTGTGTAGCCAGCCACCATCTCATAGATACTGCAGCCCAGGGCCCACCAGTCCACTGATGTCCTGTATGGAGTTTTGCTCAGGAGCTCAGGAGCCATGTATGCTCCAGTACCAGCCTGGTAGAGAAAGAGAAGGGTGTGGGGAATATTGACTATGATTTACATCTATAAATCACAATATTTTTACTTGTTAGAAAGCATAGTGTGTTTTATATGTTTAGAAACTGAGATTTTGTCTCTTTTAGAAAGTGAGTCTTGTAAATGGAAGCAATGAATCTACTGTCTGAGCACATTTACAGACTTGTGACGTGACAGTGACATGAGCAATGAAAACAGTGTGTAACCTTGTTCCCGAACAGGGATCAGGAAGAGGGTCTTGTGGAAGTAAACAACTTTAAAACTGTGAAACATAACCTTCATACAAGTTGACAGGTGAGACTGACAAGTGTTACAAAGGTCAGTTGCCTGGGTTACTAAAAGCTTTACTCTAGTCCTCGTCATCTTCTCTTTCTGTATCCCTCTGTGTAACTTTGACCTTTCCCTCTCTTGCTTATACTCTCTCCCTGTGCCTCTGCTCCCCTCCCTCTATGACCTCACCTGCAGGCCAGGAGCTTAATCCTAATGCTAAGCCTACTACCTGTCAAGAATCATGTGTGTCTACACACTGACAGAGTTGTCCAGCCTCTTATATAAAGGCAGGACATTTCTGGACACTATATCCACCAGCAGAAATGTGTAACATCCAGACAACCTGCAGCCATGCCTCTAATGTATAATTAATGCACGCAAACCACAAGCTGGCATGCAGCTGATCGCTTTATCCTCGCCACTGCAAGGAAGTCCTCAAGAAACCCTGTAGCAAAAATCTTTTTTTGGAAAACCCTGTGTTAGCACATGGAGTGTTATATAGGTATTAATGAGGACTGCGGGATCCACTGTCCTTTTATAGCCACTTAAATGTAGTAACACCTTAAAGACAATTAGCATGACCTTAGAGAATTCCTATTATTGTTTTACACTGATAAAGGTATCGGACACTGCGTCATTCAACAAGCTCTTAAAACGTCTACTGTTAAAGTCGTAAAAACAATGCCGTTTTATTTTTTTCTTTTTGCTTGATAGATTTGGATCACTAGACTACTTTGAGATCTCTCCTTTAACAAGTGTGATAGAAACTTGGCTGCAGATGTGCCTGGATTTGCCCTTCTGACATATTAATGAAGGCATGATATTACAACTCCAGTGACCAAATTTTGCATGCAAGACTTTTTTGTCCTCCTGTCACCTAGCATGCAAATCTATTAAACTTCACTTCACAAGCTTTCTCTAACTATGTTCTGTTCGTCTGATGTGTGTATATCTGTTGGTTTAACTTAACAAATAAACACCTTAACACTTTGGTCAGTCAAATGGGAAAAAACTGTTAATGTAATGATCAACATCTGAGTTCAAGGTACAGATCTGTCACCTTGTTTGCAAACTAACATGTCTAAACATATTCAATTTACTTTACTTTACTTGGATCTGTCAATCTAATCAGGGACAGACTTGTGTAATGCCCACTAAGAGGATTAGGGGACCAAAGCCAGCCTTGTCTGTAGGAGGTTAGTCCAGTCATTTTGGCTGGCTGAGGAGCATCAGAGTACTGGATAATGAGCTTACTGGACTTTCATGGAACCAAGAGCTTACTCTTTGCTGCTGCAAGTAAGTCCAGAAGAAAGCCTGAAAAGAAAACCCTTGCAATATACTGTAAGTATTGGAAGATGTGTAACGTTGTTCTGACAGTAATTGTATTACGTTGTGGTTATGCACCATCTGCATGATAATATTTTCGTCAGCACCTGGCACATTTTTAAAGCTTGATTGATGTGAGAGGCCATCATGATGTTCTGTCACTGACAACCTCTTCTTTTGCATATTGTCGGTCATTTGTTGAGGGTTATCCTCAGTTGTGCAGCCAACATCAGGCTGAACTTATTGATGAAATGCTATCTGTGTTAGTCTTTTTCATGGCAAGAAGAAATACAGGCTATAGGCTTTGTAAAGCTGAGGCAACTCTCTCAACGTAATGTCTCTATAGAAATAACTAAATCTCTGCAACCAAACTGCTGAAGGAACCCTTACATGTATTGACTGCTACTAGCACTGGACCTCCAAGGTCTCTATTACAGCCCCTACACAAAATGGTGGCCTATAAATGGCCAGGCTATAATCTGAGTGCTAAAGGATCAAATGAGTTATATAATGGAATCAGAGACTCTCATTGCACAGATCTTTAAGCAATCCAGTAATCCCTGTCCGGATTTAAAGTGAAAACCTCACCAAGACTAAGAGTCCAGTTTTTAGCTTCATCCTCATTGTTGGGTAAGTGAACATGGACAGGGTGGATATGAAGATGAGGTATCACTCAGCCGCCAGTGATCCTTTTCTCTGTATTTCTTTTCTGCTGCAGTTTGTGTGCGAATATGTGGGGTCTTAAACTCAGTCCAACCCTGTAGATGATTAATTAATTAATCTTACTGAATTTAAAGTTTAGCAACATACATAACAGAATCAGGGGAGGATCCTTGCCTGCCCTTTGGTGTACGCAACTTCAAAGGCTTTAAAAAATAGATGAAATGACCTTTTAGGGGTAGACATCTTTCATCATGATGTAAAATCTTATTATGATTCCCATCATTGCTGACATCATCCAGCTAGATCCTGTTCACAGCACCCTAATGTCTCAGAAATCGCAACTTGGTGCACTTCTTTATTGTGTTTCAAAAGTAAAGAGAGAGCCATTTCAGCCAGAATGTCAATCCTTTGTGTGAATCTACTCACCATCTGGGTGACAGTCTTTTCTGGAGCAATCTCTATAGCCAGACCTAAATCTGAAAGTCGGCACTGGCCTTGGCTGTCCAGCAACACGTTCTCTGGCTTCATGTCACGATATATGATATTCATTTCATGCAGATGAATAATGCCGGTGGTAATCTGCGCTGTGTAGTGGATGATGCGCTTCATCTCAATGCCCTTGTCCACACCCTTGCCATCATAGCCTATGTTGTAGATGTGGTACTTGAGGTCTCCTCCATTCATCAGGGTCATGACAAGGCACAGATGTGTCTTGGTGTCATAAGCGTAGGCCAAGTTGACCAGAAACAGGCTGTTAACCTTCTCCAAGATCTTCTTCTCCAACAGGGCCATCTTCTCACCACCCTTCTTCTTCAGTCGCTTTTTACACAACTTTTTGCAGGCATACATCTGGCCTGTGTTCTTCACTTGAACAGCGCATACCTGGAGAAAGACACATCATTTGTTAAAAATGAGGATGATGACACCATTTCCTACAGAAACTAAGCATGGCCTACTGGTACAAGGCCTCTTGACAGCACAGGAACCTTTGCACTACACTGATCAGAAAAGTGTGATGGGAATGAAAGTGACCTTTAGGAAAGCTGAAAAAATAAAAAAGGGTACTTTAAATCATGAATCCATGCCATCACATATTTCATGATTTGGAATGTTGATATAATCACAAATAATGCCTCCTTCTTTTGACTCTGAGGACTGAAGGCAAGAAAATTGGTTCAAGAAGACAACCTCACTTGATCCTTGATCCTTGCCAACTGTGTCTTGGCATCTAATTTGCCACCCGTCTCATTCACATCTTCTGGTATTCCTTCTCTATAGATCAGATTTGTTCACTGCATTGCACTGCTTAGAAAGTTACTTTAGCAGTTTCAAAATGATTGTCCAGGATCATGTCTCATGTATGTGCTGCATTATGGTATTTTAGTCACAGCAAATTTCCAAGTTATACTAGCAGCCTTCATTGTTATTTTAATAACAATATACTGTACATAACTGAAATCATTTTTAGATGTCTAAACTGCTCTCTACACTTCTATCATTGCATTTATCTTCTAAGTTGCCTTTTGGATGTATGCTCAAGCTTGTTGCTGAAAGCTTGACTCAGAAAAGAGGTTCCTCAAGGGTTGATTGTGGGTCCTCTGGATGTTCATGAGATCAGTATCAGTATCAGATCTTGTCACTATCATCACAAGATCTTACAATTTGTCTTTAATTTCTTCAGATATCTCTCATCTATCTCTAATACTTTAAATGATTATCACAACAATGTATTTCATTCACAAGAACTCATACTGCTATTTTCGGTCCCTGGAATTACTGCTGGTTCATTATGTTTACATATCAGTTTTTATTTTAAAACAAACAACCCTGAAACAGTTTTCTGTTGATGTGATTTTATATTCTTAGTTGATGACTTGTGATTTACATGCTTTACTGTCATCCTCAGGTCTGTATTGAAAAAGAGATCTTGATCTCAATAGGCCAATAAAAGTCTATATTTGATAATAGCTGATCTGTTGCTGGTTCTATCAATGCAAGATTACTGCTTCCTGCATTGTGGCTTTATATTTGTTACATTGTGAAACATAAGCCATGATTTTCTAAAATTCAACAGGTATGCCCATATGCCTCAAGACTTCATGGTCACCTTCACACAAAGTAATCCTAATGATTATGTAAGGTATGATCTCTTGTCCAATATACTTTCTTATACTTCCAAGCTAATATACCTAGGATTTTCCTAAGAACTGAACAACGCTGATAATGCACCATACTACTTCTGTAGCACTATACATACAAATATGAGGGTAATACATATTTTTGACACCATCATACCTAAGAAACCTGTCGGGGAGTCCTACTTTCATAAAATTCTATGTAAATGCGTTTGCATGCTTACCTCTCCGAAGCCTCCTTTTCCCAGAGTTCTGAACTCATAGAAGTATTTGTCACTGATGGGCTGTTTCTCATACTCTTTCCACTGCAGGAATTTATCAAAGAATGGGCTTTCCTGGTATTCTGTAAAAGGTTTACCTTTTAAAAACTCTCTTACACCTTCCTGGACTTTGGTTTTCATCACCTCCTCAAAGGTGGCATCTGTCACAGCTTTGCATTTGTCACTAGGCTCCCCAGTAAGAAAGGCCAGGAAGTTCTTGGAGTCAGCCTTGCAATACTTGTTGATGATGTTTGTGCGTGCCTTGTCTTTTGTTGCACCTTCAGCCAGATCCCAGTCATACAGCTCATCCAAAAAATCAGCAGCAATCTTAAACTCAGGTTTAGTTACCAGGAAATCACGGAAAAACTTTTTGCCAACAGGCTGCCTTTCACAAAGTGATGTAAAGTCCTTGTCAATGGAAGATCGTACCGTAGCACATTGCTCAGGCTTGGGGAGAGACAAGCTGCGACGGCGCTTTTTCATCTCCTTGTCATCACCACCCTGGGCTTTTAGGTAGGCCGTGTTGGCCACCAGGTTATCCAGTCCCGCCATGTCACACATCTTGGCGGCTGTATGTGGTCTATCCTCCCTAAGTGACTGGTTTCTTCAGTGGCTCCCCAGGGATGCAGCGTCTTGCAGAATGTTTGTGTCTGTGTGAGAGTGCGCTGCGCTCCAAAGCCAGTGTGCAAATGAGCTCCTTCACCCAGCCTACCTGCAAACCTAAGACACACTGACACACCCAGTAATTACTCATTTAGAATTAAATACCAGGGAGGGATTTTGGCTTAAGGATCTTTGTGTGGTCTATTCAAGGATGCTGTGCACGGAAAGGGAATCGTAAGCGGACTCTGTCCTAAGAGGCTTTGTAGCCCTCTATATTTGCTCATGGTGTTCAGTAGTCTCTAATAGTGGTCCAAGGGGTTATGTTGACTATGAATTTAATGGTGAAACAGTAAAAGAAGCAAAAGAGCAAGACACCTTTAAAGAAATGTCATAGTAGTTTTTGGAGGGTCCTCCTAATGAACGTTGTAAGAAACTGGACTAACACAGTAAAGTTTAGTTGAGTATTTACATATGATATTGTATTATATGGATAGAAAATAAGATTGTATTTGAAGCCATCAGAACAGAATCAGATTAATGGTTATCACTGAGGCAGTCAATATGGTGAACTATGGCTCTACGATATAGCAGAATATCCACCAGCATCCTCCTCTTCTTCTCTTTCCTCCTCCCAGTCTCAAAAGAACAGGTACTTCAGAGAGCTTACTCTTAATCTGTCTGCTTCTCCTCAGGCTCTTTCTTTCATTCTCATATTTTAACCTCATTCATCAGTGACCACCAGCTTTTTTGAAAATTTAAAAGAATTCAATTACTACAATGATAATTATATCTTGTTTTAACAAAATGTACATGCAGTGTAAAGACTAACACTACAGAGTGAATTGTAAATAAAATATGGATTTGGATTGAAGATGTAGGTAATTTTCATTGAGTCATAGTTCAATAAGACATCTGAAATAGCTCTGTCTAAACTAATATGAAGATCTCTGTTGTATGTTTTTTAAATTTGAAGGACACCTGCTCCTTCAGTAGATAAAAACCTTTAAAAGCAGATGTGTTTTTCAGTGTGTGGAGTCAATCTGTCGAATTCTCTGGGGAATAAACACACAACTTTGTCATTAGTTGAGCATGTGTGTGTTTTTATGTGTGCATAGTGGCACACACATGCACAAACGGTTGTCAAAAGGCATTGGCAAACTATATGTGGTAGACCATTTATGTTTGTAAATGACTAACATTAGGTGCTCAGTGGGCCAATAATTTATATTTATATATCCATATTGCTACAGCACATATCTTTCAGACAGCAGGTAACAATGTAGCACTGGTTGTTAAAATCAAGAGTCAACACAGAGACTCAGGGGATCAGACCAATGTGGCACCAGAGCTCCTTTCTACGAGCTGGTTTATAAAAAGCCTGAGGAGTATGACCTCAGTCATGTGACAGAACTGAGGTTAAAGTTAAAACAGGTTAAACCCACGACCTGTGACACGCTTGATATCCAACAGTGATACAACACACAGAGAAGGAAAGCCAAAAGATTTTTAGGCAAATACAGGTATTTTTCTGACTGAGCTAAAAGGTACATTAGCTTTCTATGTCAACCTGTCGTCTCATCTTATTACAATTCTGGTAATAGACTACATAAATATATACTGTACAATCAGTCTATACAGACAAATGGTCTTCATTTGTACACATGTAATGTGATGAATTGGCTTTTTCATTCCTTTGTTGCTTTTGGCAGTAACCCTAAGCTACAGCTATGGTGATGTAGGCTAATTCAGTAAGATAAACCTCAGATAATATTAGCTAATCCTTTCTCAAATGGTCTCAACCTCTCAGTGCCCTGCAGAAGATCAAGGGCTTTGCTTGCCGTCAGAGAGCTCCAAACTCTTCTAACTTATGAAAGGTTAGAGAATAGAGCAACCAGTAATTGAATTTGTCACAAAAGGAAAACACATAATGACTGATTACACCAGGGACTTAAAAAATAGAATCAAGTGCTTAATACAAGCAAAACTATAATTTCAAATTTTATAGGAAAAGAAGTGTCTATTACAAATGTTAATCATGTTGTAAATAGATTATAGTGTGAGTAAAGCACTTAAGCCTCCTGAGCAGATCAAAAAGGAGCCATAGATTTCATCTTTAACTGGGTCAGGGAAGGCAAAGAGAGGTAAGCTGAGAGCTCACACGTCACTCTATGGGTTTCCCCATTTACTCTACAGTGGATCCCTGGTGAGCTGTGTAACTGTCATTGAGGGACCTATCAGAAATTAATGTATTCATTCAAAAAATGTGTATGGCAGCAGCCTTAAACAAACTATAAAAATAAAACTGTAGGAATAAATGTGATTTAGTGATACAGTGGAGACAAGTTAGAAAAATCAAGGTACATACATACATCAGATACATTCATTTCCTTTGTTTCAGATGTTTGATCTTTTCTGATTTAGATGTTTGCTCTTTGAGCAGCCTGCTCCTGTAACCATGGGGGGATTAGCCTGGCCTGAGGAGGGAGTAAAGGTTAATATGTGCAGAGCATTCTCATCCTATGTCCCACATGGTCTGCTTTATGGTCTTAACGTTGTCTGGCTCCATCCTCTTATGTCCTCTGTCAAGCTTTTAAGCAAGAGGCAGTGCATGGAAAGTTTTTCCAGTAGAGCAACAAGATTTTAATAGAAAAAAGTGGGAAAGCAATAACCAGGGATTTTTCAGGGGGTGCTTATAAATCAAGTACTTAGAACTGCAGCTAAAACACAAAAACAGTCTGGTGCAGTACCTACACAACTGCAATGTGCCTCAAGGTTTCTGTTCTTTCTCTAGTCTCATGTCAATTTAAACAATTGATCTGAAGCACAATACAGTGCGCGGGGCAGATGGACTTGATGCAGGAATACTGGAGTTCTATAGGTACTACCGGTTAGTGTCTAAAAATATTTTTAATTTAGCGTACACTTAAACTAAGGTTGGGTTTTTTTTAGGTGAGCCCCTGCTCTGCTACCCTGCTGGGACTCCTGTCTGTGTCTCTTACATAGGGGTGCGATGCCTACCGCCTATTGAACATATACAGTAAATAGTTTGGTTCCAACACTTTAAGCAGGAACACTAAACTCTCCCACTATGCAGTAGAAATACATTTTCCTATAGATATGAAAATAATGCTGACAGTTTTAGATTTAGATTACTAAGCCATTTAAATGTATAAATGATTATGCTATTGCCTGGAGTTTCTGGAGTAAAATAAGCAGCTAGGCATGGTTAACTTTTATCAAAATGTTCAGCCTATTTTGGCCATGTTAGTCGATTTGATTGTGATTTATGATCCTACTTTGATCATTGACTGACTATGAATACTTTATCACAAAACAATTACTCAGAGAGGATTCCTCAATACAAAATCTTCCATCACTGGGGGTCTGTGGTTTTATGTCCATCTACTGTGGGGGTGCTTGACATTTAAATATAGGGGAACACCTGACTTAGCAGATTAAAAGGTCTCCTCATTGTGACTGCTTCTTATAGAGAGGAATGGAGGGCAAAGCAGGTCAGGCGAGTTGGACAAGACAGCAGTTAAACTTGGAAGACCCAAACATGAAGTGATGGTTTACTAGAAATACCTGTGTTAGAGGGCTCTGTCCATAATAATATGAATTACCATGTCCCAAACATCAGGCAGAGGTTTGTGAACATCAGATGGGATTTCAAAACTTAGATTGTGCAAAATCTGTGGTAAGGTGGAAGCTTGTCTGCAACCCAAGAAGTCACTGAGGAAAGCTGCGCAGCTGAATGAGGATGTTGTTCACATCTGGTTGGCATCAGGAACCCCAGATTCAGTAGGGAAGTACCTACAGGCCAAAAAAAGTCAGTAACTGAAGTTGATACAGATAGCTTGAGGCGAGGAAGAGGACTTTTAAATGGACTTCTGTAATTATTCATCCACCAGGGAGGATCCAGATATTTTCATGTGCTCTCTAGACACAAAAGGACACAGAGCTGAAGAATTAGATCAGAATTAGCGGTGAAAGGTGCCTTTAGGGAGATACAGTACGGGCCAGTAGCACAGGTGGCTGCTACTCAGCTCTAGCTAATATCTGCTCAAACTCAAGCTCTCAATGTTCTGCCTAAAACCATTTAAGTTTTGGTTAGAAGTGCAGCACTCCAGCTGATTCTGGGTTATATCTGGGGAAATTGTCAGGGTCTAGTTTTATTTATGTCTTTAATCAATGTTTTTCTTGCATTTCATAGACTTTGAATTTGATTTTTATTCCAACCATCACTAAGGACAAAATAATCCACTTCCACTCAACATAGTTGCAGACACTTACCAACATAAAGTAAAGACAAACAGGTAGGCAGACAGAAAGACACTGATGATGTACAGTACACAGAATGGACCATTAGCACTAGCAGCTTGTGCCCCCTAGGGGACTGTTTTTTCTGTGTGCACTGCACTCATAATCCTATCAAAACTAACAGACATTATATGTGTCTTAAATGAATCCAGATTGTGATGTAGGTGCAACTAACCCATTTACCAAATAAACAGCAATGCATGCAAATAAAATTACGGTTCTATGTTTTAATTTTCACAAAGCAAATCTTCTTTCTTTTTCCCGCCTTGAAGATACCTTTTGTAACAGAATCGACCTTGACTTTTTCTTTGATATATAATTAATAATTAATTAACTAGTAATAAATTATCATAACTATTAACAGTACTTTTGATCATTTTTGTTTAGTTGAATTTTTTGTAATTTACAACCTACATTCATCAATAATAACACAAATGTGGAGGGTAAATCTACCTAAACACATGTTTACATGTATTTGGACGGTAGTTCATCAAATGTTAATGAAATACATGAATAGTAGCTATATTCTATTAGAAAAATGTATACCATGTTCTAGATAAATACTTCTTTCTGGTTGGTCAGAAAGTGTAAATTCAACTACTGGATTGGTAATATTGGTACTGGGTTAGTACTCAAACTTGTGAACTAGTTTCACACTAAATAACTATCGTATTACCATTTTAACTGTAGAATAAAATTGTTGTGCAATGGTTCATGTACTTTATAAATATCACATTTGGAACTTTTATGTTTTATTTTTTAATTTACTGTCTGTTTTAAGTGCTACTCCTCCATACTAAAAGGGAACTTAGCCACTGCAGTATTGTGGGCACTGGCTGATGGGTCAACTGGGGACTACCTCTCCTGGCTGGACTAATAACACATCGTGATCTCACAGGAACTGGAACAACTCCTCCTTTTAAAGAATATAACACTGACCTGGTTAACAAACATTAAAATTGAAATATGTTTAAGTAAAAGGGTCAAACGTAATAATAAGGCACACAGAATCCTGACTAGTTGCAAAGGAATGAGTAAGGAACACCTCAGAAATAACTGCTTACCAATGAATAGCAGTTCCTGAACAATGATAATCCAATCAAATAACAATCTCCATGTTATTTGAGAATACAGATACCAGCAGATACCAATGGCCCAGTATTCATTGATTCATTTCCCATATATCGGTGAACATGCTATGTAATTACTTTTTTAATTTGTTCCTGATTAACTTAGAATTACTTGTGAAATGTAACAAAAACAATAACTTACTATTACTGCTGTATTACTGTACATACATGCTACTAATTACATATTTACTTGTAGCCACCTAGTTAAAGTGTAGTATCATATCATAAACATGCATTGTAACATAGCTTAAAATGACTTACCATATTTGTGTCCCCTAAAGTAATGTTGTGTCATCCAAAACTGGCAAGTAGTTACTGAGGTTTTACTCAGCATTAGTTTATGAATGACAAGCCACAGACAGAAGAATTGTAATTGTATATATCAAATTTATATTAAATCAACAACTTACAATATGATAAATAACAACTTGTATATTACAATAGACAATTATTACATACTACAATGTCCTATTGGTTTGTTTGTTTGTTGGTGTTATTAATGTACACTAAGTCAGAAGAGTCATGGCAATATGGACATACTAATTAAAATGTCCCCAAACATCCTGTAGAGGATTAACATATATCAAACTAACTAAAAATAATAATTTTACATTTGACAAATAAAAGATTATCTTCAGATAATCAATACACAACTCATTTTAAGTTAAGGAATGTGTATAAATGGCATATCAATATAACAGTAATCCTACAGGATTTATGCAACATTTGATTAACCCAGTGTCTCGTCTGGGACTGCACCGCAGTCTACTCTACTATCGTTCAGTGCATTGTTCTGCACCACTGTTTCCACCACACAGTTTTCCTCCAACCATTGGCCAGACACAAGCACACTGGAATCAGAGCCAGCTTCGGGTTCAGGGTTAGGGCTAGGTTCAACATCACAGCAAGAGCTGGTGTCAAAGCCAATACCGGTATCGGTGCCAAGGCTCAGATCGGGGATAGAGCCAGGGTGAGATTCCTCCTCACAGCCAGATGTCTGGTCTGAATCTTTGCTTTCATCGAGAGATTTCTCTGTCTTTGTATCTGGGTCAGAGACCTGTTCTCCCTGTTGCTCCTCCGTCTTCAGCCTTCTGCGGCTGATCAACTTCTGCAGCTGTAACTTGCTGGTGAAGAAGATGCTGCGCCAACCCACTTCAAGTGCCAGTGAAGCCACCTCAGCTGAAACTGTGTTGCAGCGCCGCCGCACTGCCTGCTCCCAAAACTCCTCTGACCCACAGAGCTGAGGAGCAGAAGTGAAAAGTATAAGTAATGTATTACAATACACATAACAGCCGATTTTGTTGCATTGCATTGATTTAATTCCTATTTATTGGAAGAATGTAAGAATAGAATATTACTCTAGATGTAATAACTGATGATTTATAATGATGTATTTACATCAGACAGAAGCCAAAATGTGCAATGGGGAAACCTAAAATAACAGACTTGATGTTTCTGAACTCAGTTTATGTTTATTTTTTCAGCATCTCTTTGTGTGTCTTGAACTCACCTGCCTGAACCTGCGTGATGTTCGTCCAAGCTGACCCACATCCTCTAGTTCTAGATCATTTATTATCCGCAGAAGTAAGGAGTCGGACAGGTGCTCCAGATAATCATAATGGCCTTGGCACAAAGCTTTGGTGTACTCCAAGATGTGATGACCAAAAACCATACTGACCTCACCTGGAAAGAAGCCCATTGCCCTGAGCAGTTAGTTTGCTCTCACAAGACATAAACTATAGAGTGATAAACACCTACAGCACTGTATAATAAAAAGTACACATTTCTGTACAGGTCTACTGGCAACATAAGAATGATAATTGTGCAAAACATAATCTTATGGCTTCATCAAAGCGTAGGCTAATTAAGGCCTTGATTATATCTATCTATTCATAGGAGCTGGGCAGTAACTATTTAAAAAATATTTAATGCATTTAAGCAAAACTTAATGGAGTATGTGTCTTTTTAACATCACGTTGCAAAACACACACAAACACAGTTTATAGATCACAGTAATCACACTAACAATCAACAACAAGTGTCCCAATAAGCCATGACAGTGTGCCAGCATGCACAATAAAGACTGAGAAATAAAAGTAATTGTGATTGTACTGACCCTCCAACATTCAAATCACTGACAAAAACACACCTT